CTTGACTCTTAATACTGCGAGACTACAGAGAATCGGTACTCTATATTGCCGAGATTACCGCTTCGGCCAGGAATGTTCACCGAGTACCGACTCCGAATGCCTGATGTCCCAAGACTTGCAAGGATCTAGATCATCTGAGTTCGACTTTGCAACCTTCCCCGCTGCTTCGAATTGGCAGGCCACATCATCAGACGAGTGTTTGGTCGCCATGATTGGCCACAGCGAAGCCAAAAGGTGAGACGGGGCGAGGATTGGATGTCTAAAAGCGGCATCGAGGGCTGAGTTTCAAAATCAACGATGTGTCATTCGAAGATAATCGGCTACCTATGTAGTTGATAGCATTGTCGCAAGCCCTGTTAAGCTTCATACCCATATCCTCCTTTACCTTATTCCTTTGAAAGCAAAGCACTGATATTAGTAGCCTTTGTATATAGTATATTCCTTATAGTATAACTTGATGATGCCCTCACTGTATAGCTCGTGGGTATTGAAGGTGAAAGCTGGATGATATGCTGACAAGGAGTATCGCTCATGTGAGTAAAGGGGTACCTGGTGAAAGCCCGCACCCTTCTCGAATGTGGGACGCAAGAATCAGGCTGAATCCTATGCTTAAGAGAATAACATACGTCAATCATCAACTTCCATCGAGTTTCCACAGAACGGCGGGAGTGTAGAGACTTTGGCTCGGGAGGTTTTGTTTTCCATGACCGAACAGATGTGGCTGCAGCCCACGCAGCTCAGAAAAAGGGAAGCCTGAAAAGGTCATCTCCTGATACAGTATCTACATGTATGGAATCTTGTCCCCCCCATGCATATTCAGATTTACCTACCTACACTTGGTTTCACGCAGTCCTGTTGGCGCACATTCAACCGGAGAGGATTCTTACTACCGGCATGCTCAGAGCCATAGCTTCGATATCATTGATCTAGACCTTCTCTTTGCATCGCAGTACGTAATGGAAGCGGATCTGGTGTGGAAAACTTCGTAACACTTGTACCAACGTTAAAATCCCGACAGTCTTGCGGGAGCTTTCGCTGATAACGGTACTACATGGGCCATCGGTGTCGGCCGCAGGCCGCTGCAACCCCCATGCCATCTCATTCTTTACCAAGGCGTCCGCGTTCATAGAGAAGCTCGATTTGATAGTGGATGTCCTAACATTCACCTGCATACAGATTCCCGTTGTGCCGGAGTTTATTCCCTTCTTGGCGACGGCTGAAAGGTGAGGCAATGCAGCACGCAACTTCGACCCCTACACGGAACTCCCGCGCGACGCGATGGAGTCCGGCGTTGAATTGCGCCATAACCACTAACGCGTTGTTACGTACCATTTTACTACTTTGCAGTCAAAAAGGACGTGGTGTTAGTTCGAGGTGCCGACCGTCGGCCTACTATCTCCTGTCTCTTGTCATGTACCCAACGACTGAGTACAGTACCTTACATTGCAGACTAGTTGATGATGGTCAAGTATCAGTGTCAAGTAATGATGTTTACAGACAGGTTTTCGACTTTAATCCATTTCCAAGTTAAAATGGCACGGGGACACACTTCAATTTGAAGTTAATGCCGTTTTTGTACGAGCTTTGAAGCTTTGGGTGACCGCGCTCGACTTTTGCTTTTTTTTTCTTCGTCTTCTCATGTTTTCTTTCTTTATGTTGGCTGACCAGGAAGATTCGCCATGCTGGTGACAGTTGTTGTCATCGCCAGACCCTGTTTAACCCCTTGGTCCCCCACATCGGAGGCTGGTTGTGTCATCCACCCCTCGGATGTTGAAATCGGGAACGGCCCGTTAGCGAACGTTTACCAGATTACCACCGAGCTCGTCGGCATCGAGAGCGGATGAAGACCGCAAAGGGTTCAAACCTTTTCGGATGGCAAAATTCAAAATGCAAGGATAAAACTTTGCAGGAAGAATGGGAGGCCCCTGGTTTAAAAAGGTAGGTGGAAGCCAGCACGATTCCTTTGATGAGCTCACAGTGCAGCACCCTTGATCGAGACCTGCCCGTCTTACACCGCCGGCTCAACTACACCGGAAGATTACTTTCCTGAGGCGCTCTACTCAGCCCTATCCGTGTCCTCGCGTCTTGGTACTCGTTTCAATGGCTTGGCGACGTCCGTTTGGCGATCGCGCTAGCGCGCAAGGGACGGTTGTTGAAGGCCAGCGAGAGCAGATCGCAAATGGCAGCACGCAGTACATCGGCGAGAAAGGAGGAAACGATGCGCCTCCCACCTATCAAGATGCTTCTGGAGCGCCTGTCGAGAACAATTCGCCTCTAGGATACGATGTTGGCCCTGTCACGATCACGCTTCTAAACATCACGATGATGATTGGCGCCGGTATCTACTCTACTCGTAGGTTCGACCGATTCGATATTTTTGCCCAATTTTTGCTGAGTCTATTAAGCGGCTTCTATCTTGAATGGCACTGGCTCTGTCGGTGTCAGCTTCGTCTATTGGACTCTTGGGTATTTGGTACGTTCCTGTGGTATTACCCATGACCATATGTAACATTTTACTTGGCCCAGGAATGGAGTAAATGCTGATCATCTCTACCCCTACATGTAGTTGTGCCTTGCTTCCGGAGCGGTCTATCTCGAATTCACAGCGTACTTCCCCAGTCGATCAGGATCTGAGGTTGTGTTCCTTGAGCAAGCATATCCCCGCCCAATGTGGCTGTTTCCAACTACCTTTGCGGTCCAGAGCGTCATTCTCTCTTTCGGAAGTGCCAATGCCACCGTCATGGCCAATTATCTTATTGCCATTTCAGGACACGAGGGAACCAATTGGCAAATCAAGGGCACCGCCTTGGCCTGCTACAGTCTGGCCACCCTGAGTGAGTTTCCACGTTACCAGACCCTTCGCATAAACCCGACATGGCGTGGTTCATCCACTAACAACCTGCAGCGCTGGTTTTCAACACAAAGTATGCATACTGGTTCTCCAATGGCGTCGGAATCGTGAAGATATGTACCTTGCTCTTTGTGATCGTTACTGGATTTGTGGTACTCGGTGGTGGCACCAGGGTTGAGAACCCAACGGCCAATTTCCAGGATGCTTGGTCAGGGAGCAAGACAGCCAGTGCCTATGGTATGACTACGGCTCTTTACCGCATCATCTTCTCCTACGGTGGCTACAACAACGCCTTTAACGTTGCCAATGAGGTCAAGGTATGAGCCATGACGCCAAGCGAAAAATGATCCCAGACTGATCCGGAGCTCGTTAGAATCCTGTGCGATCCCTCAAGATCTATGCGACAGCTGCACTGACGACTGTGTACATTTTGTACATGTTTGCCAATGTCGCATTCTTTGCCGCCGGTAGGTTGCCCAAGTCTTTGTAATTGAGGTTCTGGCATTATGTCTAACGAAAGGATGTTACAGTCCCAAGAGAACTCTTGGAGAAGTCCGGCCTCACTGTGGCCAGCTTGTTCTTCACTCAAGTCTTTGGCAACAGTGGTAATGTTCGGGGACTCAACTTTCTTATCGCACTAGCTTCATTTGGAAACATGATTGCAGTTATCATCGGACTGTCTCGACGCATCAGAGAGTGTGGCCGACAGGGCGTCTTGCCGTACACGAGATTCTGGGTTTCCACCAAGCCTTTCGGCACTCCACTTGGGCCCTATCTCGTCATCTGGTCTCTGACGGCTCTGATGATCCTGGCGGTTCCTGCCGGAGATGCCTTCACCTTTGGTGAGTTCCATCACTCAGTTGGCGCTCGATTCAGGAGACTGATTTTGATTAGTGAATGACCTTGGAGTTTTCCCGACGGCTGCCTTCAACTTGGCCATGGCCGTGGGAATCTACGTTGTTCGCTGGCGCCGCAGAAAGGCTAATCTTCCGGAGCCTGAGTTCAAAGCTTGGCATGTGGTTATCATCTTCAACATCTGCATTCAGCTCTACCTTCTCATCATGCCGTGGTACCCTCCGGCAGGTGGACAGTATGCCGGCGATGTCAGCTTCTGGTACGCGACGTACGCCGTTACTGGTATCGGCATGTGAGTGGAATCCCTGCCCTAGTATTTGTTTCTTGAGCGAACGCTGATCGCAGGACTCGCAGACTCCTCATTTGCGCTGCCTACTACTGGCTCTGGGCTTCCCTTCTTCCCAAGTGGAGAGGCTACAAGCTGAGGCAAGAGCTCGTTAGCTTCGATGACGGCGCTCAAAGCAATCAACTCCGGAAGATCCCCAACGCGGACGTTTCCGAATGGGACAGCACTCACGATGCGAGTGGTCGCCTCATTGAGCCATCTGCCGACGAGGTTCTCGTGCAGGAGAAGGGGGTGCGCGTCTCTTCCGAGGGAAGCAACTCCGATACTGGGAAACACGTCCCAAATGCAGTGAGAGAAACTCACAATGTCTGAAAATGATTGGAGGAGTGCGAAGGAGCCGATGGTCAGCGGATGTACACAAACCACATGCCTGTTGAGGTGATCAAGCTACACTTCTTGGCTTTCTCATTTGATGCTATCGTGAAATTTGGCCGATGGAAGGACACATCGTTCTCAAAGACTCAGATAGCAGTCAGCAATTGACACGCATCTGTTTCACTTCTACTTCTACCGTCTATGATATAGGGGGACTCTTGTTTCCCTTTCGCATGTTTATCAAAACCTCATCATGCCCCCAGTGTCTTGGCGTCAGCTTGACAATAGGTCACAGGCAAATCGCAATTCCCTCAAGTTTTCCCTTGCTATCAGACAAGACAAGGTATCAACAAACCGCGTTGCGCTGCTATGTCATCATGATCCTGCGTGCCGCTAGGCCAATCACACAAGCGGCGATCGCTACTGCATGCGCCCGGCCTCGGCTTGTGTGGCTGAATGACATCATGCAGCTCTCTCCCTTTATCAGAAGCTCGAGACAACAATCAAGGTGTTCATTGAGAGACCTGGTTTGATTAAAGACATTACAGACATCGTCTTGAAAATATCCCCCGAGGCTCATGCGCCAGAATCACAATCGCCAGCAATCTTCGACCACCATCTCATCTCTTCACAATGTTGAGCAACGCATTCCGAAGACGGGCTCTGCCATCCGCGGTGGCGGCCTCATGTCCTATGCCTCTCGCCGCACGTACAACAGCTGCTTCCGGCGCCAGATTTCTCAGCGACAAGCCCGGCCTGGCATCCACGGACATCAGGGACATTGCAGATGCCAAGAAGACCAACCCACCGCAGCCGAAGATTTCCAACGCCAGCGTCAACGGAGAGAAGCTTACGGAGGAGCAACAGCGAGAGGTGGACGAGCACAACAAGGACTTTGAGAAGAAGCATGACTCAGCGCCAGCTGCTGAGGACGACAAGGTCGATAAGAAGTTTTGGTCGAATAAGTAAAGATGGCGACAGATGAAGGAGCTGGGCCGAACTGTGTTGAACAACCATCTCTGTGCCGGAAGCATGCTTTCTTCAATTACATTGCAGCAGTTGCCTGTGCTATGGAATACCTTCAAAGTTTACACGATGTCATATGTACTAGTAGGTTAGGTGACATACTGGCGGATGTGGGTCATTTGTTGATCGCACCGGGCAGAGCCACGAGGTGCACGTGAGTATATTCACCTTCAATCGCGTGTCTATACCTCGAATACAGTACGAAGGGTACTTTATTGTATTATTTCTTCTCGGCCCTCAACAAGTGACTGGGAAATAATGGCTGAGTGGTCAAAGGCGGGGGCCTATGTGACGATGCTTGGGCAACTCCTCCATTACACGCCATCGCTTAACCTTTTGTTCGATTACCCATCGGTGATCCCTTTTTTTCCTCTTTCAAACCGCTTTTATCATGCCTGCAAACTTTCATCAATCAGTAATGTCATTCCTCAGGTTCCGTTCTCATTGAGTGCCTCACTGCCAAGGTCCGGCATCACCCAGGTACGAAATGAAAGCCTCTCCGAGATCCTATCCTCGAGAATCGATGCAAATTACCATGCGCACCTGAGCTTTACGATATGATGGTACTTCGAGTCAACCTAAAGTTGCACTCGGGGTAATTCGGCATATCATTGCTGCAGACTAAGTAACGTAAGGTACATGTAGGTACCGGTAGTGAGTTGGCGGACAATCCCGCGTGCCAAGACTGTGAACGAGTCTCACAGACAGCCAAGCGTTTGATATTGAAGGGAACGAGTAGTCGACCAGCGGGTAGCTTGGGTTCAATCATATTGGACTTAGCCGTCTACTTTCCGCGATTCAATCAGTGTTGCGTAGTTTCTGTAGCATTGAAACTTTCTTCACAAATCACATGCGTAATGCAGCATCTGGAAAGGAGGGGAAAACAGCCTTGATCTACCTTATGAAATAATCGTCGATTTCTCTCTGCAAAAGACTCCCTCGGAATGGAAATCATCGTCATCGACTGTCGTTGCACGTATACGTGGTGCACCTCACTCTATCTGAGGTACAACTACGTGGTAAGCAAGTTGATGTTGGCTCGCAAGTTTCTTACATAGTCACATCTGTCATCTACAAAAGGCTGGCCCTAGAGGGAACTATGGAGCTCCTGGTATTACGTGATGAAACGAATGCCAATGTTCACTCTATTAAGCTTGAATGAAGTAAGGTTGCAGAATAAACAAATGGTCCGATGTTGATCAAACCGCATCACGCCGAGAAAGAATGCCGGCCTTGGCATATCGCCCGTCAAGTGCCAACTGAAGTTCTTCTTTGACAGTTCATCTTTGGAGGCTTATTTATAGCAACGGAGCTGATGAGGGTCCAAACAGCGCCAAGTGGCAGCCCGAACAGCTCACACCAATAAAGACAAATACCACAACTTCGAGGTTTTGAGCGCTGATCACACGAGTTCTCCTCGTCTTGAGAGTCTTGGCGGTCCCCGGCGAGAGCTAGGTCCAATGAGCTTCACGTCTCAAAGAGCGTCGTGATTGCGTGGTTGCGACAGTAGTGCCGAGCCACTCTACAGTCCGTACTGACTTATCGCGTGGGATCGACTTGCAGTCTTAGTAAAGATGCCTGACTATCTTCATAACGTAATGTAGCAGACTCCAAATTCATGGATACCTCATGAAGTTAAAAGCCTTGGCAAGTTTGCATCGAAGCAAGTGCCGAAGATATTATTGCGTTGCGCTAAGATCGAAATGTACCGCGCACTTGCTGTCCATGCTTACCTTCTGAGTACTTCCAGGCTTCTCCGCCTCAGTCCCCTTCGACTGTAAGGTCTAAATCACTTATTATGTGTAAGTTAAATCTCTCGCAAATTCGATCCAGCACCGCAAAGCAGTCTAGGGCTATAGTCATTCAGGAGCGTGATGCACATTGGGGCTGAGGTAAGGTAGCTAGCTGCACTGCTGCAGGGCGATAGCTGTGACAGTTGGAAGTTGGACCATCATTTTTGAACATCGCAGTAGTTTTCGATTTTTATTGCCAAGAGGGCAGATCAGCAGCGTCAAGTTGGTTTTGTGTAGACTCGCTAACCCTCGTAGCTCAGTCTTGGCTGGGGCTCACACCTTCTGGCAGAGCTTCACTTCGTGACTCGTGCAGCGCTATCGCCCAACGCCAAAAATCTGACCGACGGAGCTTATCCAAAAAACCATCCGGAGGAAGCTTGGCCGCTTGCCTCGGTCGCCAGAGAGGTATACCGAACGCTACCCTACCAAGGAATCTCGGAAACTCCTTGTTCAAGGAACGCAGAAGAAGTGCAAAAGAGGAAAAAGCTCGCGTGCCCTCCTGCCCAGTAGATTGCCACCGTGCTCTCAGAGAAGCAAGAGGGCACGCGACAGCGGACTGGTGTCGCGCTGCTAGCGTCAGATCACAGGCTTGGCGACATCACGACGAGGGTTGGGAACTTGAGCAGAGGCTCAACAGAGACACTGAGAAAAAGCCATTCTCGATCATCGAGAGCATATTGAGATGACAACGTGCTCCCATACACCACTCTGACTGGCTGGATTTCCCTGACGGATCTGTTTTTGGTACCTTGAAAGCCAAGAGGGCCAAGTCCTCCAGTGGCACCCGCTTCACCAATCTCAGCTCGCTGTGTGGATGAGCGCAGAGCTCGGCGCAGACTGGGCATCCGTCAAGAACATCCACCGTAATGGGTCGAGGACTGGCGACACTGGCATACCGGGGCGAAATGCTATCTTGTAGCTTACTGAACAGTATTGAAACAGACAGGTACCGTTGAGAAGTTTTTCACCCTTCTCTCCCCCTCCTCTTGTCACCAAGACTCAAACTGAGGTGGCTATAGCCAAGAACTCCAGAAACATGAACCCTGAAGGGCTTGCTATCGAGGTTGTGGGGAAGGAGCCAGAGCTTCCCGTCGCCTTAAAAATAATGGCAAACTGTCAGTATAAAGATCGTGGCGCTCCGGGGCTTTCAGCAACCTTGAGAGAGAGGTCAATAAGCCTTCCCACTTTGAGCGCCACTGCCTTCGAGCTTTCTCACCTTTGCCGGTGAAACCCTCTCCCTCTCCTTTGAACTCTTTCTTCCCCGGTCCCCCGGAAGACAAGAACACTTCCCAAATCAGCCTTCATCATGGCTGTCCCTGTCCTTACACAGTATGACTGGATCATCGCCGTAATCACCCTCGCCTTCTGCGGCAGCTCCATCGGTAACGGAGCAAACGATGTCGCCAACTCATATGCCACCTCCGTGGCAGCTAGGACCTTGACCATGCCCCAGGTTGGCTTCCTTTCCATGTGTACAGAGTTTTTCGGTGCCGTCGTCCTCGGCTCCAAGGTCACTGGCACAATCAAAAACAACATTATCGAGCTCGACCGGTTCCGCACGACACCTTCCACGCTCATCCTCGCCATGGGCTGCGCCGAATTCGCGAGTGCTTTCTGGCTACTTGCTGCTACAAAAGTCGGATACCCGGTCTCCACGACGCAGACCATCGTCGGCGCGCTCGTTGGAGTCGGTATCGCTGCCCAAGCACAGGTTTCCTGGGCCTGGAGTGACGGCAGTGTTTCCCAAATCGCCGCATCCTGGGGCATTGCTCCTTGTATCTCGGCTGCGTTTGCCGCCATCTTGTTTGGCAGTCTCAAGTTCACCGTCCTGGAACGCGAGAACTCTTTCGAGAAGGCTATGAAGGCGATTCCTTTCTACCTGGCGTTCACGGCTGCTATTCTCGCTCTCTTCATCACGGTCGAGGCCCCCGGTGCTCCGTCGCTTGAGGAACTTGGTGCCGGTACAGTATGCGGTATCATCCTCGGTGTCTTCTTCGGCATCCTCCTCCTCTCCTACATTTTTTTCGTGCCTTACGTCCACCGAAGGCTGGTCAAGGAGGATACTCGCATTCGTCTCCGTCACATCTTCCTCGGCCCTCTGTTGTACATGGAGAACCCGCCAATCTACCTGCCTGCGAAAGGAAACGAAGTCGTCATCGACTACTACGCAAGCGCCCACGATGATTCAAATGTCACCAACGAAGGCGATATCGAGAAGCAAGCTGTCAAGACCGAGGGTGGCAACGATAGAGGCGAGAAGGTGATCGGAAACGACAGCAATTCTGATACACCTTCCCCCGTCCCCATGTCCCTTGAGGATGTTGAACGTGGCAAGAAAACTCAAGAGAACCCAGCAGTGGTGCAACGATACAAGCGCATGCCCGAGCCCGAAGAGCGCTTCCTTGCCCCGACCGCCCACCTCCCTATTCACAACCCTAGACGCATCTGGAGCTTCATCAAGTACTTCTTCCTACAGGGAGTTACCCGTGACTGCGTCACGCATGCCTCGTCCCAGCTCGCTGCCATCCACGGCAAGGCCAAGAAGTACGACAACCGCGTCGAACACCTGTGGACCTACGCTCAAGTCGCCAGTGCGATGATGATGTCCATCGCTCACGGTTCCAACGACGTTGCAAATGCTGTCGGCCCTTGGGTTGCCGCCTACCAGGTTTACATGACGGGTGAAGTTAGCGAGAAAGGAGACACTCCGATCTGGATCTTGGTCGTCGCCGGCTTCTTGCTCGGTGCCGGTTTCTGGTTCATGGGTCACCACATTATCAAGGCTATGGGAAACAAGCTCACTCAGCTTTCACCCACAAGAGGTAAGCCAGCTTCCTGTCGAAGATAATTTCTTGTCACTAACACCGCCCTCAGGATTCGCCATGGAACTTGGCGCTGCGATTACCGTGCTTTTGGCCAGCCGTCTCGGTCTCCCCGTCAGTACCACACAGTGCTTGACTGGGGCTGTTATCGGTGTGGCTCTGATGAACTTTGACGTTGGTGCTGTGAACTGGCGTCAAGTCGCTTTCATCTTCTCGGGCTGGATCGTCACATTGCCCTGCGCGGGTCTCATCGGTGGTTTGCTGATGGCGATGTCGCTCAACACCCCTCAGTTTGGCCAGGGGTAAGAGTGCTCGACAAAAGGTTGCACGAAGATGGAGCATTGTAATGGCGTTGGTGGTTGAAATTGGAATACTCATGAATTGAAGGTCACGTCAGAGGCGTTTGATAGAGAATCGTGGCCTGGATAGCAATTCAATTATGACAAAAGTTTACATCTTGGACGTCGCTCTCTCTCACTCCCGAATCAACAGCCTCATGGGCAATTCCAGTGTCTGTTAATGTTGCAAACAAGTATGATTAAGTACTTAACTTCACCATTTCGTCTGAGTTACCTACACGCTAACCATGATGGAGGTTCGTGGTACCCGGCAGCATACTTACTTCTTGTGTACATCTTGATTCGACCCTCGTTGGTAACGAATCATGGGCTTTGAGGCTTTGCGGTATTGCCAATTTCGTTCATTTAGATGAAGGTACGGTAGTAAGGGGTATACGGTTGTTCTCCATAATCCATTCTTCTTCATCTATAAGCCTACTGGTGTAAGTATTTGATGATGGAGAATGGCCGGACTTCCGGTCTGAACAATGAAACATACTTGTCTTATTGACGTGAAGTGCGCAGGGTATCTCTAAGCTAGTATGGCGACTACCATACATCACGCTGAAAGGTTGGGTTTCTCGAAAGATGATTTACCTACTTACTTTACAGTTGCAATGGCAGGTTTCGTCATGCCGAACACTAGCTCTGGATAAAGTACTGGTGCATTTTATACATTGGTTGCCTGATAATTGTCGAGAAACTGATTTGAACATCTTGAAGCTGACAGTTCAAAAACCGAGGGATTGCTGGATAGAAAGTTCGTTTTCCGAAATGAGAAAGAGCCGATGGAGTGGCCAACAGAGCCTAGTTGAGTTGCTTCACCGCAGATGATGAAATAACTTTCTAGGATTCCATTGTTAGAGCCTTTTTGGTTTCAAAAAGAACCTAGTAGCAGTGGATTGTAGAGCTCATGACGGGCGGGTAATGTCACGTCGGATAATCAACCACAAACAAAGGTAATACTGAGTTAAGGCTAGGTACGACGGTTTGGTAGCTTCGGAACTTCCTAAACGTTAGTTCAAACTAAGCGCGATTCCCTTCTTGCGTGCAACATTGCCCAGAAGAGTCTCCGTCGCGTACGCTGGTTGGCCAAAGTGAACGTTGTATCGCCAGGCATTGCCTGTTCATTTTCCATTGGCTGCAAAGTCTGGGGTCGAAACATCCCCAACACCACTCGCTTTCTGGCGGCTTTGGCTAGTCGGATGACCAAAAAGCCGTGCGATAATTAGCTACGAAGTCAAGCAACTGCCCTGGATCGACACATCGACACTGTTCGGATGCACTGTGATACGGATGGTCGGAAGCAGACAGCGCACAAAGATTGCGGTAATTGCACCAAGTGGTGGGCGGGCCGCGCACTTCTTACAGATAGGATCTCGGATGTCAGCCGAGACCCGGCCCGCTGGGACTAGGTGATAAACAGTACATTCATTATTGGTCGACTTACATGGAACATCCATTGAGGGTATCCAGTTCGGGGATCTTCAATAGGTTATCGAGGGATACTGTTGGCGGCGGTTATTGCACCTAATCCCGTAGCCGCAGCCCAGACGAGATGGTCTCAGAAAGCTGATGGTTGTTATCGACGACACCGCGGAAAGCCGCACGCACGGGACGGGATGGGGTATAGATGGGACAGGAGGGTGTGGTGATGCTTCATTTGACAGGTACCGCCCCGACAATGATGACGGTCCATGAGTATACATATCGCGGCAATCTCATCGCTGTCTGTCTCTTTGTTTCATCATTCACACTCCATCGGACTGAGCACTCTTCTACTTCTTCATTCTGAACAACTTTGCGATACCCTCTTTGACAAGCTCAGTCATCATCAAACATACAAAATGGGATCTATTCCAGCTGGTTGGAGGCAACTTGATGTCGGTGTCGTCGGCGGAGGCATCGGCGGCATGAGCGTCGCCATTGCGCTACGCCGGGCCGGACACAAGGTGACCATCTACGAGCGCAACGATTTCGCCGGTGAGGTCGGCGCCTCCGTCTCATGCGCCGCCAACGGCACCCGCTGGCTGCACGAGTGGGGTGTGGATGTCGAGAAAGGCGACCCCGTCGTTCTGAAGAGCCTCATCAACAGAGACTGGAAGACGGGCGAACCCGTCAGCGTGTACAGCCTCGACGACTACGAGAAGCGCTGGGGTTACGTCTACAACATGTTCCACCGTCAGTACATGCACGCCATGCTCAAGGACACGGCGATGCAGGAGGAGGGCGAGGGAATTCCGGCCAAGCTATTGGTCAACCAGAAGGTGAGACACTCCCTTCCACCCTCAACATTCCGCCAGTAGCTAATCAATTTCCCCATGATAGTGCAAGAACATCGACCTGGCCAGCGGAAAGGTGGAGTTCGACACCGGCCTGACCGCCACACACGACCTCATCGTCGGCGCGGACGGAATCGGCAGCGTGGTGCGTGGCCTAATCGGCGTCAAGCCGGAGAAGCGCCCGGCCGACTCGAGCTGTCTGCACGCCAACGTTCTCACCGAGGACGCCGTCAAGGCCGGCCTCGTCGACTACTCGCAAGACGCCGCGCTCGAGTACTGGGGTGGCCAGGAGGGCAAGTGGGACAAGATCGTCCTCTCGCCCTGCAATGGCGGAAAGCTGCTGTCATACTACTGCTTCTTCCCTAGAGAGAAGGGCGACTACGTTAACCAGGCTTGGGGTGTCGAGGACCGCCCCGTCGAGGAGTTGCTGGCGCCGTACCCTGAACTTGACAAGCAGGTCCTTGCGCATCTCGCTATCGGCAAGGATATCCAGCCCTGGCGTCTGTGGATGCAGTAAGTTATCCAATCATTTACTCTCGGTTTATGATTCTGACTTGAATGCAGTGACCCTTACCCTTACGTCAATAAGGACATGGTTTGTCTGTTGGGTGATGCGGGACATCCTGTAAGTCGACAAACTATCTATCCATTCGATGCAAAGCCAATTCTAACCAAAGCCTTTCAGATGATGCCTCACCAAAGTCAGGGTGCATGCATGGCCATCGAAGATGCCGCTGCGCTTGGAATTCTCTTCCACCCCAAGTACTTCAACGGAGATGTTAAGGATACCTTGGAAGTTTACAACACCGTTCGTCTGCCCCGCGCCACGCGCGTGCAGTCTGCAGCTGCCAAGGCCGCATACAACATCAACGAGCGTATTGGTAAGCCCGATAAACCAAAGTAACCTTTTTGAAGAAACACACGAAGCTCATTCTCACTCAGGTTTCTCAAACAACACCAGCACCAGTACATACAAGGTTGCGGATGAGAGAGCTAAGCTCACCATTGAGGAGATGAACGGGTAAGTTTCACAGCTTCCAACGACATTTTCCTCATCGTGACTAATGACGTGACAGATACGACATGTACAAGGACATCGAGGAGGTCATTGCTCAACGGTCGGGGGCACCCTTTACCCAGAAGTTTATCAAAGGACTGCCCATAGGACTGGAGCTTTCTCCTGGCGTCATCGTTGGGCAGTAAGTGGCATGGGGCTTGCAAAAGCTTGAAGCTGCTTCTTTCTATTAAACCTTTGGGCATTAATTGGAGTTTTGGGTCAGGAGAGGATTGCGATATGTTCATAACAAATTATTCCCAATATTCAAATTGTATAAAGCATGATGGACCGTGCTTTTGTTATGAAGCATTTGTGCCTAAAGTGAACTAAAAAACTGCAGGGTCATGAGAAGCCGAGAAACCGTCTGACGATTCAACGCGCATCCTGCATCTCCCGCCGAATCTAGATGCACACTCCGATCTGTCCAATCATTCTTTCAACCAGTGACTGCAGGAGGCTGGGTTTAGTCTTCTTCCCGGCCCTCTCTTGCAGAGCCTCCGTGCTTTAGCTTGCAACGAGAGATATCAGAAACTGTTTCCCCCTCAATGACTACCTACCGAGTCAAAGGTGCACAACTCTCGTGCATGCACAACTCATAGGCCATCACATCTCATGGCTACATGCGTTCTCATCCACCAATATGTCAGCAGTCCTAGTCGCCTTTCTCGCCTCAAAACTTCGACAGCCTCACCCGATGTTGGTGAATGTCCTCCTTCTTCCCAGATTTTCAACACCATCCTCATAAGCAAAGAGCGGTAGAAACGGCCGCCGTCAATGTTTCATGCAGCCAAGGGTGCTTCATGCAAAGGGCGGTGGAGGCGATCGCCAAATGTGACTGCTTCCCCCCTGCTGATGGATGAGATGTCCAAGGATGTCCAAGGATATCCAACGCGAACTGCGCTAAAATGTCACTGGGGTGGATCTCGAAAAGAATTCTGCAGGTGTCCCGAGCTCCCGGGGGGAGAAGAATGCCATATCCAGCAAGGGTTCGTGAGAAAATCTTCCAATCTTTCCCAGGAGCCCTGGACGCGGTCGTCCGGCGAGGCGACGACGCGATGCCAGCGGTGAAGAAAGAGGGCGGCACGCATAGAGGGCGGTGATTGTTTATGCGACTCGCGAGCTTTTTCTTCGGTGCCCAATGTTTTTTTTCGACCTTCCATTTCGTTTAATCTTGGTTCAGGTTTAGTTGGCCAGCCACTTCGGTGGGCCGCACCACCCCTCGGCGACTCCAGAATGTTATCCATCGAGAGGTTCACGGACGGTGGACGGCCATTATTGATTGCTTTGATTTGCCATACCGACTCTCTTGGTGGATACCATACGAATACTGAGCTTGAGAACTGCGAACATGGTTATCTCGGGCTGATGAACCGACGAGCACATATATATGAGCATCAAGTCCAGTGTTCACATTTGCCTTTCTTCTTTCTTGTTTCCTCATCTCTGTTTGGTCACAACTCACGACATCTGAGACCTTTGCATAACTGCTTCTCCGTCTAGCAGTTGCTTTTCATTTGGCGTGACGAATTTCGCTTTTGGTTTTCCCGTCTTCTTTTTTTGTTTCCTGTTTTCCGAAATTACGGCCGTTGATACCCCCTCACAATGTCTCCCGCACTTTTTGAGTCTCAC